GTTCCCTACATTGGGCTTATAGCAAGAGTGGATCCACAAAAGGGATCCATCAACAGAGGATTTGTATAAATCAAAGATGAAAAGGGTGGATTTATAAAGGATCTATCAAAAAGAGGTTCCCTACATTGGGCTTATAGCAAGAGTGGATCCACAAAAGGGATCCATCAACAGAGGATTTCTATAAATCAAAGATGAAAAGGGTGGATTTATAAAGGATCTATCAAAAAGAGATTCCCTACATTGGGCTTATAGCAAGAGTGGATCCACAAAAGGGATCCGTTAAAGGGAGGGATTATAAATCAGACTTACAGCAAGAGTAGATCTACAAAAGGGACCCAGCAACAGGATTTCTATCTATCAAACTTACAAGGGTGAATTTATAAAAGGGATCCACCGGCAGAGGATTTCTATAAACCAAACACATAACAAGGGTGGATTCGTAAAAGGGATCTATCGAAAGGTGGCTCCACAAACTGGACTTGCAGTGGTGCTATGAAAGGGATCCACCGACAGGCCCTCTACAAATCAAACAAGGGTGGATCTTTAAAAGGGATCTACAAACAATCTTTTTGAAAGGGTGGGTCTATGAAGAGGATCTTATCAAAGCGGAGGGGTGGGGAGCTTTCTACGAACCAGATCCATTAAAAGGGTGAACCTATAAATCAAGACCGATGGGGAAAAAAAAGGAGATTTTTCTCAAACTCTCCTGCCCGAGCTGGCGACTTTCGAAGGGGTTGGACTACAACGCCCATCGTACCCAATTGGTACAGTCAATATTTGAGGCGTGTGTGGATGGCAGAATAAAGCGTTATAAACCCAGGGTCTCCAAACTCAGCCGCTGTTAAGGTGGGTGGGCTTCCAACGCCCAGAATCCCCCCAGGGCTGCAGGGCTGGCTGGGGAATTCTGGGTGTTGGAAACCCACCCCTCTTAACAATAGCCCAGCGTCGACACCCCTATTTTAAACAAAGTCAACCTGGGGTCAAATTTCTCCCCACAAGCGGGGGGCTCCCCTCGTCCAGAAGATCGGGAACCCACCAATTTTTAAAACCAAATCAATTCCACACGTCCATCCCTGAAGACCCCCCTACGCCTCTCTCTGTCTCTCTTTTCGCTCCGTCTTCTAAAGACTCTCTCCCTCGCCCTTTCTCCTCCCCTGAAGTTGCCCTCTCCCCTCCCTGCGGAGCCACCTCTAAGCACGACCCAGGGGAGAGCAGCCAAACTACCCCCTTTCCCCTAAAATAAGACCCCCAACCTGGAAAATAAACCCTAGCATGATTTTTTCCCCCAAGATGCTTGTAATATAAGCTCTACCCCCCAAAAATAAACCCTGGTTAAGATCATCAGTGAGATGGATGCATTTCGTACCGTATTTCCCCCCCAAAAATAAGACTTAACCAGAAAATAGACCCTGATGCATCTTTTGGGCAAAAAATAATATTAAGACCCAGTCTTATTTTTTGGATATGTGCAAAACTATGGTAAAGGGGGGGGGCAATTTTGGGTCACCCTACTACCCAAAAAAAGATGTTGAGACTTTGGAAAAAGTTCAGAGAGCAACTAAGATGCTAAAGGGAACTAAAACATAGGAAGAATGGCTGCAGTATTTGGGTATGGGACATCAGGGACATGGTGGCTCGGCGGCTAAGATGCTGAGCTTGTCGATCAGAAAGGTCGGCAGTTCGGCGGTTCGAATCCCTAACGGAGTGAGCTCCCGTGACTTGGCCCGACCGAGCAATTCGAAAGCAGGTAAAAATTGCAAGTAGAAAAATAGGCACCACATTGGTGGGAAGGGAGCAGTGTTCCATGCGCCTTTGGCGTTGTCATGCTGGCCACATGACCATGGAGACGTCTTCGGACGGCGCTGGCTCTTGGGCTTTGAAACGGAGATGAGCACTGCCCCCTAGAGTCGGGAACGACTAGCACATATGTGCGAGGGGAACCTTTGCTTTTTACCTAGTCTAAAGAGGAGAAGCGTTAGGAGGTGACATGATAGCAGTGTTCCAGTATTTGAGGGGCTGCCCCAAAGAGGAGGGGGTCAATTATTCTCCAAGGCACCTGAAGGTAAGACAGTGGATGGAAACTCATCAAGGAGAGAAGCAATTAAGGAGAAACTTCCTAACAGGAGAATTCACCTGTGGAATGGCTTGCCTCCAGAAATTGCGCCATCACTGGATGTCTTCAAGAGAGTAGACGATCCCTTATCTGAAAGCGTATAGGTTCTCCTGCTTGAGCAGGGGGCTGGACTAGAAGCCCCCCAAGGTCTCTTCTAGCTCATTCATCATTTAACCACCCCATAATCCCTTGAGGGGTGGAGCCTAGGCAACTGAATGGAGTGACCAGAGTGTTTTACTGGCTGGATGCCCTTCCCTGTCGCCAGTGCGGAGTTTTGTTCGGCAGATCTATTGTCATTGTGCCCAGAGAGAGAGAAATATCTGCCTCTACCGAGGACGGAACTCGCAGCCTCCTTGAACGTGAGGCGAGAGCGCCCCCTCTAGGCCACCGCACCGCTCTCCCTTCCAGCTCATTCATCCGATTCCCACCCTTAGCCTGACCTTAAACGGAGCCCATTCTTTGCCATTAGGGGAGAGGTGTGGGGGGGGGGCAAGAATCCGAAGGGAGACCACTGAATTACAAGTTTATTACTCAACATTTAAAAAAACAAAATAAAATAAAAAGACAGAGAAACAACAGCAAAGAATGCCATTCCGGAGAAAAAAGAGGCAAGGTGGAGTGGACGGCGGACGACCTTCTTCTTTGGACCCATCCCGAAAGCAACGACGGAGGGACCGACCTGCCTACATTTTTTAACCTTTTTGTCCCTTTTCCCTCACCGTCCCGGACAGCCTTCCACCCAACCCAGTGCCCCTCCCTCCTCTGGGTATCCTCTGCCCCCCCCCCATGCAGCTGGCAAAGCCCTTCCAGCTGCAAGGAAGATGGAAAAAAGGACATTTCCCTTTTTTTCTTTCTTTCTCAAGCTTTTAAACAAAAGAAGGAAAAAGAAAAAGGGGGGGTGCATTTAAAATAGCCCTTTGCACCCCCCTCCCAAGTAAAAAAAAATAATTGCCCTTATCTCTAATTGTGCATTCAAAAGGACACGGGGGGGGACGAGCAGCGTGCATATTTTCCCACTGGCATCACGGCGTGCATATTACGTGGGCACGGGTGGGTGGGTGGGTGGGTGCGTGGATACTTTTTAGAAGGGAGGGGGGAGTGGATGGTCCAACCATTGCCCCCACCCCCACCTTCCCCGAGTCTTTCTCCAGTCTCAATCCACCACAGAGAAGCGGGAGGAAGACACGTCACAAGTTAGCAGTTTAGAATTAAAAAAATAAAACCCCCACAAAGTTAAAAAAATAAAACTTTAAAAAACCAAGAGAGAAAAAAATAAGGAAACACAGAAGTGCCTTTAGTGTGTTTTTCGGCCCCGCCCTGCCCCTCTCCCCTCCCCACGTGGGGCGTGTTTAACATGCAAAGGTGTTTGCCCCCCCCCTTCCCCGTGCTTCTCGTTAGCCTTCGGGAACGTCCCACGTTCTCCGTCACGATTCACAGGACCGTCAACTCGTCTTCGGGGGGCAAGGAACTGACGCTCGTGCCGTGGGGGTGCCCGTTGCTAACCCCCCCGTCGAGTTCTTCCTGCAGGAATCGGCCGATTTCTTGTGTCAGGGAGGAGCCCTCCAGCTGCCACTCTTGTTCCAGCTGGGCTATCAACTAGGGAGGAGGGAAAGAAAGAGGGAATGGATCAGAGAGAGGCGAAAACGAGTGGAAGCGTCTCGATGCAAAATACATTTTCGAGTTGGCAGCTGTCAATCTCGCTGGGTGGATCAGACAGGCAGATTAAACAGATTCTACATCGCTGTAAAGTTAAATTCTGAAAATATGTCTCTGAGCCCTTTGGCCTCGCTTACAGCTAGTCCTCGACTTAAATGATGGTTCAGTTTAGCGACCGTTCGAAATCGCAACGGCACTGGGAAAAAACGAGGCTTGAGACCGATTTTCAGTGAACGGCCCACTGCAGTGGTCACGCAATGTACATTCGGAGGCTTGAGCGCCGACTCGCATTTACGACGGCAGCATTCTGGGTGGCGTGCGATTCTCCCCCTTTGGCGCCCTTCTGATGACGGGGAAGCGTCCATGAGGACGCTGCCGGCCCCATTCCAACTGTACCAGTTGGAACAGGATTTGCAACCCGCCCAGTGGTGGGTTTCAAAAATTTTTGGAACCTCTTCTGGAGGTGTGGCCTGCTTTCCGGGTCCACTGATGGAACCTCTTCTAACCAGTTTGGTAGATTTTTAGCGTGACCCGTCANCCATTAGTTTGCTTAATTGGTTCGTGACTCTCCGAGGCTCCTGGCCAAGTTCTGCAGAGATGGGCCTGGCAGCTCTCCAAGCCAGATAAGGTCTGTGACCATAAATCCTCCTTGGAAAGACTTTGCTGGATGTGAAGGAGCAGAATTCACAGTCAATTAATCAAAGGGTTTTTTGTCGGGACAAGCAATTTGCTTTATGCTCTTGGGAAGCCTCGGTCAGAATAAATTCCAGGCAAGGCCCATTAAACCCACATTGGTGGCTTAGCTCACTCATCTCCATCTCTTTTTCCAGATACCTTCGCCAGCAAGGTGGCCGCCATCCAAGACCAGCACGCCGACGCTTCCATCGGTAACGTAACGGGCAGCAACGCGGTGAACGTCTTCCTGGGCATCGGCGTGGCCTGGACCATCGCCGCCAGCTACTGGGCGAGCCAGGGGAAGCGCTTCGAGGTGCAGCCGGGGACCCTGGCCTTCTCCGTCACGCTCTTCACCATCTTTGCCTTCATCAGCATCGCGGTGCTGTTGTATCGCCGCCGGCCTCCTGTGGGGGGTGAGCTGGGTGGCCCCCGAATCCCCAAACTTCTGTCCACCCTGTTTTTTGTCAGTCTCTGGCTGGTCTACATCCTATTAGCATCTTTGGAAGCCTATTGCCATATCGAAGGCTTCTGAAGCGGTAGGTTCGAATCCAGGACTTTTGGGAATCCGGAAAAGGACCTCACACCACTCAGAGGGACCCCCTCCTCAGGATCAGGATCACCCCCCCCCCTTTTTTTTTTTAAATTTTCCTCTCTCTCCGCCGTCCATCTTGCCAAATTTTGGTGTCCGATTTAAGGCGTCCTCAGCAGGGACTAGGTGGGAATTCCTCCACCTCGGTTTTTGGAGCACCTCAAGTCACGAGTTCGAGACGGTGTGTCGGAGAAGACTGAAGGGGAAGGAGAAATTTTTTTTGGGGGGGGGGGGGAAGCTGTCCTGTCCGTGGTGCGCCTGAATGAGGGGTGGCAAGGATGGGTCCGATTTCTCTTGTTCTCCTGCATTCGTAGAAGACTTTGGGCCTCGGTGAGAGGAAGCGCCTTCCGAACCGAGTTTTTGGAACGAAGGAATTTTGCACAAAAACGATCTCCTCTTGGTCTCCCATCCGTGACGAGGAGAAGGGAAGCGGCCAGGCCGGGCCAAAAGGAGGGGACAATCCCGAAACTGCCAATTTGTCTCAAGCACAGGCTCTCTTAAAAGCCGAACCTTCGCGCTCGTCCGGAAAACAGCACAAAACCTCTCTCCCAACGGCAGAAAAAGAGGGGGGGAAGATAGATAAGCTGCTTTTCACTACACTTCCCCCGCCTTACGATTCCTCCATTTCTGTCAGCCATTTTGGGGTGGAGCCCCAATTTTTATTTTTATTAGCCTTGATTTTACACACCGACCAAACATGGATATTTTATCTTTTGTGTGTCATTTCAAAACTGAGCCAAAGTGGAGGTAGTCCTTCGCTTGCCACCACTGTCGGGTCGATAAGCGGGTCGTTGAATCGCGTCCAATTTCATCACCTGGTTTTGCTGCAGTCGTTAAGTGGATCGCGTGGCCATGAACCGAGCCAGGCCCCAGTTTTACTTCCGGTTGCTGCTAAGCGAACCAGGCGGTCGTTCCTTGAATCGTCCCGGTTTTAACTTCCGTCGAAGCACGTCCTCTCGTTCACTGAGCCAGGCGCAATTTTACTTTGGGGTGCGGTTAAGGGAAGCACGTGGTCGCGGGAGTCGTGCCCCGTCCGACAACCTCCTCCGGCTGCTGTCGTTAAGTGAATCACATGGTCGTTAAGTAAACCCAGCTCCCCCCCCAACCCGCTTTGCTGAGAAAACCGTCATGGGTGACGACGCCTGCCTCCTCTTACGAGACCACCTTCCAACCATTGTTAAACTTGGGGTCGCGACTGAAAAGACGACTGAACATTGGGGTCACAAGTGTGTTCGGTAGCGTCCTAACTTGGGACAGGTCACTAAGCGGATGGTTGTACGTCGAGGACGACCTGCATTCAAATTCACCTTCGTCAACTGTCGTGTCTGAAGCTGGAATCACTTGTTTTCCAAGTATTTTTCACCCCACTGTGCTCTTTCCAAAATGCGGGGGGGGCCCTCAGGACACCCCACACACACAACTCTGTTTGCATGGCAGCTTCTGTGCCCCCACCCCACCCCGCGGCCGAACTCGTGCCTCTCTGCGTCACTTTGTCCCAACGTCCGAATGTCCATCTTCGGCGCTTCCCTGATGTCTGGTTTCCCCACCGAGTGACGTCGCCTGCCTCCCTTCGCTAACTTTGGATCTGTTCTCTGTTTCGTGTGTGATCTGTTTGTGTGAGTTTGTGGTTTTTCTAAAGGCAAAAACCGAAAAAAAGACAACAACCCCAAAACATCGAAAATTCCTTTGAGATGGTTGTTGTGTGTGGAAGGCGGTGAAACGGTTTCGGTTTTGTTAAAACGGGGCCGGGGGGGGAAAAATCTCGTTTCGTCCTGGAGGGGCTCAGTTTGATCTCCATCCACAGCTGGAATAAGGGAATGGTGGATCTATCAAAGGGATCTATCCAAATGGGGGGTGGGTCTGTATATCGGACGTATAGCAAGAATTTTATAGTCCTTTGGATCTGTAAAAGGGATCAGTCAAAAGGATTTCTATAAATCAAATGTATAAACAAGGGGGGGGATCTATGAAAGGTGTTCTATAAATTGGACTTACAACACAAGTGGATCCATAAAAGGGATCCATCAACATAGGTTTTATATAAATCAAAGATAACAAGGGTGGGTTTATAAAAGGGATCTATCAAAAAAGAGGCTCCCTAAATTGGGCTTATAGCAAGAGTGGATCCACAAAATGGATCCATCAACAGAGGATTTCTATAAATCAAAGATGAAAAGGTTGGATTTATAAAGGATCTATCAAAAAGAGGTTCCCTACATTGGGCTTATAGCAAGAGTGGATCCACAAAATGGATCCCTCAACAGAGGATTNCCTAACCCTAAACCTAACTCTAAACCTAACACTAAACCTAACACTAAACCTAACACTAAACCTAACACTAAACCTAACCCTAAACAGAACCCTGAACCTAACCCTTACCTTAACTGAAATTGCGCTTTTGTGGGTGCGGTTTTGTCGGCGTGTTGTTGTAGGCGTGTGTATGATGTCGCGGTTTTTTCGCCGCGGTTTCGTCGGCACGCTTTTGACGTGCGCGCATTTGTCGGGTCACGACTCAGGAGTGCCTTAGGGACAACTCTCCGAATGTCCTAGACTGGCCCATCCAGAGCCCTGACTTGAACCCTATTGAACATCTCAATAGGAACCCGAAAATGGCTGTTTACTGACAATTGCCATCCAACCTAACTGAGCTTGAGAGGATTTGCAAGGAAGAATGGCAAAAAAACTTCCAATTCAGGTGTGAAAAGCTTTTTGTATCATACCCAAATAGACTCGAAGCTGTCATTGCTGCTTCAACAAAGTACTGAGTGAAAGGTCTGAATACTTATGCCTATGTGATATTTCAGGTTATTTTTCTTTTTTTATAATTTTACAGGCATTTCTAAAATTCTGTTTTCACTTTGTTGTCATGGGGTACTGAGAAGCTTAATGAGGGGAAAAATGAATTCCAACAACTGTAGAATCAGGTTGCAGCATTAAAAAACTTGACAAAAGTGAAGGGGGGGTCTGAATACTTTCTGAATGCAGCGTAAACACTAAAGAAAGCAGTTTATCATCTAACTATAATCTATAAGTCATGCCGTTGAGCTGCATTTCTCTTAGCAATGCAGTGAGCAGAATTATGGCTATCACAGAATAATACATAATGATTTTCAATTTGGATAACAATTATCTTCCTGAGGGGAAGACAGATTTATTTTCTTCTGATCAGATGTGCGAATAGCATAAGATTCCTATTTATTTATTATTAATTAGACTTATATACCGCTTCATAGGGCTTTCAGCCCTCTCTAAGTGGTTTTACAGATTTTTTAGCAAATTGAGTTAGCAACTTGCCCACACAGTCTGAGTCCTCATTTCACCCACCTCGGAAGGATGGAAGGCTGAGTCNGGCTGTGGAAAGGTGAGTGATGCTAAGGGCCATCCCTATGTCTACCCAAATTCCCTTCCCTGGGGCAACTCAGAACAATGGACCAGCGGAACAATCGCCTTCTTCAGAAGTTGCTGGTGCTCCATCCCGGGAGATTTTAACAAAAGAGTAAGACAGCCCCCTGTCTGAAATGGTTTGTTTGTTTATTGGATTTAATTTTAGCATGTATCCTCCTTTTTTTAAAACAAAAGAAAAGTAGACATATATAGCAAATTCTATTTTTGAACCCCGCCCTCCAAACTTATTTTTGGCCAAAATGTGGACCTGGTTACAATTCCCAGCTATTAATTTAATTTAATTTAATTTAATTATCAAAATTTATATGCCGCCCAATCCCGAAGGACTCCGGGCGGCTTACAAAAAGAAGAAAAAAAGAGAGAGAGAGAGAAAAAAGACAGTTTAAAATCACAACACCACATACATTCATTCTAATTGGGGGCTGGACCTTTAACAATGTGGTCAACAGCCCCAGGCCTGCCAGAACAGCCAGGTTTTTACAGCTTTGCTGAAGGCCATGAGAGTGGGTAAGGTCTGGATCTCGGTGGGGGGGGGGGAGCTGATTCCAAAACAGCTGGCTGAGGAACTCTGGGAGTTGAAGTCCACAGGTCTTAAAGTTGCCAAGGTTGGAGACCACCGCTATAGCAGACCAAAAGCCATGAGTTCAAAGGAGCTGCCTGCAGACCTCAAAGACAGGATTATTGCAAGGCACAGATCTGGGGAAGGCTACAATAAAAATTTCTACTGCACTGAAGGTTCCTAAGAGCAGAGTGGCCTCCATACCTCTCTAGTGGAAGAAATTTGGCACAACCAGGACTCTTCCAAAGCTGTTTGCCTGATCAAACTGAGCAATCGGGAGAGAAGATCCTTAGTAAGAGATCTGTTGGTCACTGACAGAGCTCGAGAGATCCTGTGTGGAGATGGGACAGAGTTCCAGAAGGATAACCGTCACTGCTACCTTCTACCAATCTGGACTTTATGGCAGAGTGGCTAGGCGGAAGCATCTACTTAGTGCAAAATATATTAAAGCCAACTTGGGAGTTTGCAAAAAAGCACACAAAGGACTCTCAGACTGAGGAACAAGGTTCTCTGGTCTGATGAAACCAAGATTGAACTGTTTGGCCTCAATTCTATGGTAAATGTTACGTCTGGAGGAAACCAGGCACCGCTCATCACCTGCCCAATATCATCCCCACAGTGAAGCAGGATGGTGGCAGCATCATGCGGTGCAGATGTTTTTCAGCAGCCGGGAGACTAGTCAGGATGGAGGGAAAGCTGAATGGAGCAAAGTATAGCGATATCCTGAATGAAAACTTGTTCCTCAGAGCTCAGGCTGGGCTGAAGGCTCCCTTTCCAGCACGACAGCGATCCCAAACACACAGCCAAGACAACTCAGGAGGGTTCACCAACAAATGTGCGCTCGGCAATAGCGTGCTGATGAAACCGTGGCGAGAAAACCGTGAGTTTGAAATCGCGCCGATGAATGAGCGCAGAAGTGCGCTGACAACAGCACGCCTTCAACGAACAAGTAATAACAACCGAATAACCCTAACCCTAACACTAAACCTAACACTAAACCTAACACTAAACCTAACA